TCCTTCTGTCCCCTTCCCTCTGTCTGCCAGTCCTGCCTAGAAGTGGGAAAGAATAGCCACACCCAGCTCCCCACAGTTCCTCAGGGACAGGCCCAGAGCCCTGACCAGCGGAGAGGGGGATGGCAGGCAGAGCCATGGCAGAACTGTGGACAGGGACAGACCAGAGAATCACCAACCCACCGTGGAAACATTCCACTGAGTGTCTGCAGACTGCCCTGAGCAGAGTGAGAAATGCAGAATGCGCATCCCTGGCATTTCCAGCTCATACTCTTCACTCACTACTATTGACAACCCCATTAAAACATTTATTTTCAACCCCAAATTACAAGCCTTGCAAAGAAACGTGACCAATATGAAGGAGGAGAGACTATTTCTTAGTGGATTCAGATGTTATGCTTAGCAATATTAAAGGAAACCATGTTTAAAGAATTACTGTAGGGGCTGGGAAGGTGGCTCACGCCTGTCCTCCAGGCTACCCAGGAGGCTGAGATCTGAGGATCCTGGTTCAAAGCCAGCCCAGGCAGGAGAGACCGTGAGACTCCTATCTCCAATTAATCACTAGAAAACGGGAAGTGGTGCTGTGGCTCAAGTGGTAGAGCACTCACCTTGAGCTGAAGAGTTCATGGACATTGCCCAAGTCCAGAGTTCAAGCCCCACGACCAACCAAAAAAAAAAATTACTGTAAAGAGAAAGCTGTGTGCTTGTGACATATTGCCAGTCCTCCAGCTATGCAGGAGACTGAGACCTAGAGGACTGTGGTTCAAAGCCAGTCAGAACAGAAAAGTTCTAGAAACTATCTCCAATTAACCAGCAAAAAGGGAGAATGGAAGCATGGCTCAAGCGTTTCATGGACAATGACTGAGAGCAGGCGTCGTCCCCCTGACAGCCACATCTTAGAGCTGTCCTTCCGCATCCCGACCCCCTGACAGCCACATCTTAGAGCTGTCCTTCCGCATCCCGATCCGCTGTGACTCGGCTCCTTACAGTGCCAGCCCTGAGCAGGACCAGTGGGGACAAAGCCCCGAGTTCAAACCCCCTACAGGTGAGGGGCTTAGAGAAAGAGGGCGAGTATGCTGAATAGCGTTCTGTGCATGTGTGGACACAGAGCCGGGAAAGCTGAGAGGGCTGGGAGGGGGAGAGAAAACGAGGGGGGAGGGGGAGGGGGAGGGGGGAGGTGCAGGGGCACACTGTATTTCTGTTGTTTTTATTGTTGTTTTTGTTGGTCATGAGGCTTGAACTCTGGGCCTGGGCACTGTCCCTCAGCTCTTCAGCTCAAGGCTGGTGCTTTACCACATGAGCCTCAGCGCCACTTCTGGTTTTCTGGTGGTTTATTGGAGATAAGAGTCTCATGGACTTTCCTGCCTGGGTTGGCTTTGAACCTCGATCCTTAGATCTCAGCCTCCTGAGTAGCTAGGATGACAGGCGTGAGCCACCAGCACCTGGCTTGCACACTGAATTCTTGTAATGGAAATATCACAATGAAACTCCCTTGCTCAATTAACATATACTAATAAAACATCTTTTTTTTAGTTTTGGTCATGGGCTTGTATTCGGGGCCTGGGTGCTGGGTGCACCACTTCCAGTTTTTAGGTGGTTCCTGGCTTTTCTTGCCCAAGCTGACTTTGAACCCTGATCATCAGATCTCAGCCTCCTGAATAACTGGGATTATAGGCATCAGCCACCAGCACCCAGCTTAAAAAAAAACAAAAGAAGAAAGAAACCATGGGGCTGGGAAGGTGGCTCAGTGGTAGAGCGCTTGCCTTGCATGCATGAGGCCCTGGGTTTGATTCCTCAGCACCACATAAGCAGAAAAAGCTGGAAGTGGTGCTGTGGCTCAAGTGATAGAGCACTAGCCTTGAGCTGAAGAGCTGAGGGACAGAGCCCAGGCCCAGAGTTCAGGCCCCAT